AAGATATTTTAGCGGTAATGAGACCAAAAATAATTAAGACCCATCGAATCCGAATTTAAGACATTTTAAGACTTTTTAAGGACCCGCGGACACCCTGAGATTACTGGCCATTATTTAAAGTGCCCCTATTATGGATTTTAGAAAATGACCTTTCATGCAGTGTGTAACAGTGAATGAAAACATCCTGCAAAGTTTTAAATCTGAAAGTGCACCGTGTATAAAGTTATTGTCTCTCAAAAGAAAGAGTCGACTCTGAATCACTGAAACGAGTCGTTTTTAAAACGAATCCCAAGCGTTTCATGTTGACGTCAACATGAAACATTAGCATATTGCCCGCCCACTTGTTGGTCTTTTCGCATTGGTCTGAATGAAATTGCAAATTCATTCTTTGCCACTAGGTGCCGCTTTTGGAGCAGTAAAAATACAGTTTCCCCGGTAACTCTGTACACAAAGCAGCACTGCGCTCACAAACACTGCTTTATCAGGCTTTACAGGCGAGATCCAATCAGACCAATCACCGCAGATTAGCGTCACGCAAAGGATGAGTTTGGAAAAATGAATCATTGAGCGAATCGTTTGGGAGTCGTTGAGCAAGTAAGGTAAAAATAAATGCATATTATAAGACAATGAAAGTGTTTTTGACCTTGCATGCACATCAACCTGTTGTTGGGGACTCCCAAAACCAAATTATGAACCTTCATAACCCATAATCGGGGCACTTTAACGCCCAAAAAAAGCATGTCTTAAAGCAGACGGTAATTTGCGATGCTCTTGGTAGATCACGCTGGTCATTATGGTTTGTTAGTAAATCACCCGCAGAATTTCCCCTCCCATCAGTGCTTTTATGCAATTGCGATCTAACGCTAATTTCCTCCGTTTAGTAAATCCAGCCCTATAAAGTAAGACAGCAGCTGTGTGTCGTACTTTGCGAGCGAGGGAGAGCAGCATCTCGTCGGAGAACATCTTGAAGTCGGTGTACTGGCCCAGCGAGCGGCGATGCAGCTGGTTATTGATCAGGCTGTAGTGAACGAGTCCTCCTCGTCTGGAGAAGCGCTGAGGAACCTCCTGCTGGAGCCGCTGCAGGTCGATGGAGGGGAAGGAGATGAAGTCCTGCTGGATCTGCGGCTCCTGCTCGGGACACTGCAGAGCGCTGCTCCAGACGCGCGGATCCCGCTCGGGACACACACAGTACTCGTGATACACCGGACCTGACAGAGACACAACAACAGGCCTGATTACACACAACATCTGAGAAAAGAGTCTGTGTCTTTGAGTAAGCACAGTACTCATCATGGAAATAATCTACTTTAAAAGAATTCACCTGAGCAAGAACTAGATGCGATGACTTACATGCAATTAGCTAAAGTTTAAAGTGCTTTTTTGATCCACTTAAGACAAATAATGCAGTTTCACAGTAGTGCTGTCAAACGATTAATCGCATGCAAAATAAAAGTTTTTGTTTACATAACGTGTGTGTGTACTGTGTATACTTAAATACACACACACACATACAGTATATATCTTGAAAATATTTACATGTATTTATATTCATGTTATTTATATTATACTGTATATAAATATATTCTATTGCTACAAATATACCCCAGCGACTTAACACTGCTTTTGTGCTGCAGGGTCACATATAAACATAACATATACAGCACTATTTCATAGTTACTTCTATTGTCTTTGAAACCTGTTTAAAGTACTGACAAGCATTTATGATGAACCCAAATATATATTTAATGCCACTTCTGTTGAACCGTGTAAGTCTTGCATTTAAATATATTTGTAATTACACATTAATATTGAAGTTGCAATTTAGTGCATTTAAAATATAGTAACTCAACATGACAAATCAAACACTAGAGTTATGATTATAATCAAGTGCTTTACATGTGCTTCAGTGTGTTAATGAACACATCAAAACAAGTGTACTTCTTTAAAATGCAACAAATTATTATTAAAATTAACTTTAGAGTAAAACTGTTTGGCATTATTATAAAGTGAACCTTTACACCTATACACTCTATTTACACTTAAGTGCCCTTTTATTTCTTTAAAGAGGCATGAAACCCTAAAAATCATTTTTTCTAGATGCTAACAGATATGTACAGTTTGCACATCAATGAAAAGAACAATAGCACTCATTATGTTTATAATTATTAAGGGAAAATTTGTTCTTTTTTCATTTTTTGGAGGCATTTTCTTCTTCTGGATTATATCTGCAAGTACAGTTTTTTTTTTAAATATATATACTTTTAAGTACTTTTAATCACACTACATACAAGTGCACAATTAATACTTCTTATATGTGATCCCACTACATGTGTGAAGGCAAAACATACACATACACCATATCTATCAATGTTAGAAAAAACTGAACAGATATGAGAAAGAATCCCGTTACCCCTAAGAGTGTATGGAGAGTCTGCCACAGGCCTGTCTTGATACAAGACTTCAATCTTTAGACCCCTCGAGGAGCTTCCGTAGAGTCTGTATCTGACCAGAAGAGAGCCGTCGCCTCGATCTAAAGGAGCTGGGACATGAACACGAACATACTGCTGCTCCAGAGACGATATCTTCACTCTGAACGAGTCTGCAGCTGGAACCAGCAGAACACAAACCACTGACACCAGACCCAGATAAACACTGCTTCCACTCGGTCTGCATGAGGGGAGTGAACACTGCATATATCACTACTTACTGAAGAACAAACAAACAGCAGCTAAAGTCTGGTCATCCTTAATAAAAACAGTCATAAACAGCAGAACGTACAGTTGAGCATTCAGAAACTTTAAGACTGATATACAGTACAGCGTGTGAAGAGTTCGGTTCTCACCGGGAGACACGCTGATGTTGCGTCCCTCTGAGTCCACGCTCTGGATGTAGAAATATCTGACCGGAAGTACAGCAGCAGGACTCAGTCCAGGTCCCCAAACCACACATTTCCCCGCATCGAGCTCTGCACTCCCGCTAAACCCCACGCTTACACACACTGCAGCGATGAGCGAGGCGAAGACAACATGAGGCACATTCGAGCAAGCGTTTCTGATCTTTAGATGGGGGACCATTTTCACTGCGGCTCCTGTCGATCAGAGCAACGCGGGACTGAAAAAACACTCAATTACAGCTAAAGTTCGCTGCAGAGCTGCTAATGATTTATTGGCATAATTAATACAGACGTGTTTTGCTGTTTCGAGCGTTATAGACCCTGGACTTGTTGCGTTAAAGTAGAAGATAACACGTTAAGAAATAATTAGGGTGGGATTTTGAGTGTGGCGCTTGTGCGGCGGTGCGCCTCGTAAATAAATCCGGCGAGATTCAAAAAGTGTTCAAGAGTTCCGGATCTTCTGTTTCGAATCAGTGAGTCGGAGTTGATTCATTTCGATGATTCGGGAACAGTGATGCTGGGTCAGTTTTACAATTTAGGTTTATTTTTAAATAACTTTTAAATTTTAATATTTATGCGTGAATAACACAAAGAAAGGATGGCACTTATTTATAACCTAGTTTGCCAAGCCCCACCTAATAACACACAAAACAAGGACTAGAAATTAAATTAAATTTTTAAATAACTTCATAAATGTTAATAGTTATGCGTGAATAACGAAAAAAAAAAAAAAAGGATGAGACTTATTTATAACCTAGTTTAACACACAAAACAAGGACTAGAAATTAAAAAACACTAATTTTACAGAACCGTCATGTTTAATTAATGGTATTTAATTATTTGTAGATTTATTTAATATGTTACACTTTCATTAAAACATTTATAGCCTAGTTTGTAAAAGGCGTCATCATTATACATAACCATATAAAATACATGTCGCCTATGTATTTGTTTTTTTCATTGTTTTTCTATGGTTTTGAGCAGCTGGTTTAATTTGTTAATTTAATTCCGAGCTTCTTTGTGTTCCATCAATAAATGTAAGTTCATAATGTAATGCAATTATTTTAATGGTGCTTCATGAAAAAATGCATGTGCCTATCTTTTATTTATTTGTATTTTAGAAAATGTTATTTTATTTTACAGGTAAAATGTGGACTGAACACATTCTTGACATTTTCCTTATTAGGTGAGAAATGCACTGCTTCATCGGTCTTTTTTCATGAATTGTTAAAAGTTGTGTATTTTTAAACTCAAAAGTTCTCAAACATTACAAGAAATAAAGTCTTTATTTATTATGCTCACAGTAAAACAACTGTAGCAAAATATATACATTTTTCAGTAAATAATTAAACTAATTAATGTATATTTTATATTGTGTATATATATTTCAGAATGATTTACAATATCACAGTTGGGTTAGATGAATATTACAAACTGGTTACTAACAAAAACATTTTCCTCAATCAATCACATTCACATTTTTTGTAATGACAGTAAAGTGCACAGAACATACGTGACCCTGGAGCACAAAACCAGTCATAAGGGTCCATTTTATGAAATTGAGGTTTATACATCATATAAAAGCTGAATAAATAGCTTTCCATTGATGTATGGTTTGTTATATTTGGCTGAGATACAACTATTTGAAAATCTGGAATCTGAGGGTGTAAAAAAATCTAAATATTGAGAAAATCATCTTTAAAGTTGTCCAAATGAAGTTCTTAGTAATGCATATTACTAATCAAAAATTACGTTTTGATATATTTACTGTAGGAAATTTACCAAATATCTTCATGGAACATGATCTTTACTTAATATCCTAATGATTTTTGGCATAAAAGAAAAATGTATAATTTTGACCCATACAATGTATTGTTGGCTATTGCTACAAATATACCCCAGCGACTTAACACTGCTTTTGTGCTCCAGGGACACATATATAAAAGATGAATTGCTGGGAGAACGATCAGAAGCCTCTCCAGTCGGAGCAGATGCGGCGGTTCTCTGCCAGCCACTGAACGAAGAGACTGACGCGAGCGTACGCTCCGGGCCGCTGCGGTCGAGCACAGCCGATGCCAAACGACGTGACGCCGACCAGAACCCAACCAGCGGCCTCTTCACACATCAGCGGCCCGCCAGAGTCCCCCTGACACACAATAACACAGAAAAACACCTTTCAATGATGCTCAAGTTCAGGATCAGTGCACGTTTTAATGATTCTTAAAAGACGTTTCTTCTGCTCATCAAGGCTGCATTTATTTGATTAAAAATACAGAAAAAATAGTAATATTGTGAAATATTATTGCAGTTTAAAAAGCTGTTTTCTGTGTGAATATCTGTTAAACTGTAATTTATTTCTGTGATGCGCAGCTGTATTTTCAGCATCATTACTCCAGTCTTCAGTGTCACATGATCTTCAGAAATCATTCTAATATTCTGATTTATTATCAGTGCTGGAAACTGCTTAATACATTTTTGGAACCTGTGTTACTTTTTTCAGAATTCTTTGATAAAAGGTTAAAAAGCACAGCATTTATTCTAAATAGAAATCTTTTGTAACAATGTAAGTCTTTACTATCACTTTTTATCAATTTAACACATCCTTGCTGAATAAAAGTATTAGTTTCTTTCAACAAAAAAAACTTTTTTAACTTTCAACGGTAGTTTTGAATAAATGCTGTTCTTATCAACTTTTTATTCATCTGTTAAAAAGTATCACAAGTTTAACATTATTGATAAATCAAAATGATTTTTGAAGGATCATGTGACACGGAATATGGTTGATGAGAATTCAGCTTTGATCACAGGAATAAATAATATTTTAAAGCATATCAAAACATAAACCGTTATTGTAATTATATTTCACTATATTACTGTTGCTGGTGTTTTTTTGTTTTGTTTTTTGTTTTTAAAGATGAGCAGTAGAGATTTCTTAAAAAAAAAATCGGATCCCAAACTTGTGAACAGCAGTGTATATATATATATAATTTTTTATTTATTTTTTTCAGCAGTTTACAGGCTAATATATTTTTCAGATCTGGCATGTGTGGATTTTATCACTCAAAAAAATTTTCTCTATTCTTGATCTAGTCTTAAAAATTAACCAAAAAACCACAATGATTGTGATTTTAACGGTAAAAGACTGTAAACATGCTACAGTAAAAACCTGTTAACTGGTTAACAGTAATTTCCATACTATATTCAGTGAATAAATGTAATTACATTTAATGTAATTTTACAGTAAAATACTGTTAAAAATAAGTTTTTTAGAAGTGAAAAGCATTCTACTGTACGGACGTAAATGTACTTTCCCTTCAGCCTGAGGCTTATTCATTTCACTTTTGGTGTGAAAAGGCTTTTATATTTGCCAAAAATATTATTTTTTATTTTAAAAACAAACAAGCAAGCCCTGTCCAGATTTAAAAAGTAACGCAAAAGTAACATAACGCATTACTTTCCATAAAAAGTAACGTAATGAGTTACTTTTTTATGGAGTAACGCAACATTGTAGTGCATTACTTTTAAAAGTAACTTTCCAGTGCATTACAATGGTTCAAAACAGATATTAGTACTTCAATATGTTGGTTTATTAACATTACATCAGTTAATGAAATACGGTATTTTATTGTGAATTTAAGCTAAGCCTGTAAAACCTAAAATGTTGCTACCAAATTTTTTACGGTGAAGTTCTGGCAACCACAGCTGCCGGTATTTTACCGTAAATGTCACAGATTTTTTTTTTGACAGTGTAATCCTATGTAAGTGTACAGTACACACCTGACAGGAGTCCACTCCTCCTTCAGCGAAGCCGGCGCACAGCATTCGCTCGGTGAAGTTGTACTCCGGAAGCCATTCCTGACACTGTTTGTTGCTTAAAAGCGGCACAACGGCTTCCTGTAACACATCGGCTCTGGAGCCTACAGATCAACAACACACCGCTTACACACAACCACCAGAAACATTACAGACTCAAATCTCTGTGTGTTTGTGTCTATCTGACCATCTTCAGCCGTCAGTCCCCAGCCAGCAATAACACACTCTCTCCCTTCTTCAATCTCAGCTCCAGGATCTGGGAGGCAGATGGGCTGCACGTAATCTGGAAGATATTAATCCACTTCTATTGGTTGCATTTTCTTTTTAATGCTTGGCAGATCATTTCTTATTATGCACAATCAGTGCACTGAAAAATGTTCAAAATCAATCCCACAAAGAAATGTTCAGGTGAGATTTCACTCAGAATCTAAAGGGGAAAAGTGTTTAAATGTCATGAAAATAACATCACAACATCATAAAGGGGGGCAAACTTTATGCAAATAAATGAAGTTGCATACTAATTGCACCAATTACTTTCATGTGCAAAATGAGTAAATCATGGATGAAAAACGTAGGCTGCATACTATATACACTACCATTCTAATATTGCATTTTAAACACTATTTTAACAGATTTTAATGTATTTCTGTGATGCGCAGCTGAATTTCCAGCATCATTACTCCAGTCTTCAGTGTCACATTATCTTCAGAAATCATTCTAAAATGCTGATTTGCTGCTCAAGAAACATTTCTGATTATTATCAATGTTGAACACAGTTGTGCTGCACAATATTTTTGTGGAAACTGTGATTTTTTGTTATTTTTTAGCATTCACAGATGAACAGAAAGTTCAAAAAAACATTTTATTTGAAATAGAAATCTACTGTAAGATTATAAATCTGTCACTTTCAATTTAATGCATCCTTGCTGAATAAAAGTATTAATTTCTTTGAAACAAATACATTTGTTGAATGGTAGTGTAAGGTACGACCACAATGGCATTCACGACTGAAAACTTTTGCACGATTGTTGTATTGGAAACAAACAAAAAAAAAATGATATAAATGTGACCCTGGACCAAAAAAACTGTTATAAGTGTCTTTTTTTTTTTATTGAGAGTATTGTTGGCTATTGCTACAAATATACCCCAGCGACTTAACACTGCTTTTGTGCTCCAGGGACACAAATGTACCTTTAGCATGCCTGTAAAATGAAAAACATAGTAAAATACAACATTTGTAGAAACAAGTTTTGCCTGTGTACCTGTGAAGTTGGCAGGCGTCTGTAAGTGCATCAGAGCAAAGTCCGACTCCTTGGTTCTTCTGTTATAGCGCTGGTGCATGATCACGCGGTCGATCAGATGTGTTTGTCTGCCGGGGTTATCCGAGCCGAACTGAGAGTGAAGACCCAGCACCGCCGCCCAGTTTGACAGGTGCACGTTCTTTCTACAGGATCAAACCTCTTTCAGTTTCTCAGTGCGCTTGTGTTTTACAGTCAGCAGTGATACTTTTAAAAGTAATGCATTACAATGTAGCGTTACTCCCTAAAAAAGTAACTAATTACGTTACTTAGTTACTTTTTATGCAAAGTAATGCGCTGTGTTACATTTGCATTACTTTTTAAATCTGGACTGGGCTTGCTTGTTTGTTTTTAATATAAAAAGTTCTATTTTTGGCAAATGTAAAAGCCCCTTAACACCAAAAAGTGAAAGGAATAAGCCTCAGGTTGAAGGGAAAGTAAATTCAGGTCTGTACTGTAGAATGCATCACTGCAAAAAATGCTTTTCTTACTTAGATTTTTTGTCTTGTTTCCAGCCAAAATATCAAAAAATTCTTAAATCAAGAAAGATTTTCTAGACAAGTAAAAATTATTGTCTTGTTTTCAGAAAAAAACATGTAAAAATTAAATGAGTTTTTGCTTGAAACAAGCAAAATAATCTTATTTCAAACAGAAAACAAGATTATTTAGCTTACCCCATTGGCAGATTATTTTGCTTGTTTCAAGCAAAAACTCATTTAATTTTGACTAGTTTTTTCTGAAAACAAGATAATAATTTTTACTTTGATTTAAGAATTTTTAGATATTTTGGCTGAAAACAAGACAAAAAATCTAAGTAAGAAAAGCATTTTTTGCAGTGCAGGAGAAGAAACACTCCTTAGCAATAAAAAAAACCAACGAAGCACAAATATTATGTTTATCTAAAGTAATTATTGCTCATTAGTATGGCTGAACTGAACAAGACACTGGTTAATAAAATGGGATTAAACACATAAAGGTTATTTGTGTTATTTAACATATTTAACTATTGTTGGTTTGTGTCATATTCTAAATTTGCATTTCACTGTTTTAATTCATTTTGATGAATGCTGAATGTGTTTTTGTGCAGGTGAGATGAGTAAACACATGTTCATATTTAGTCTGGAGCTACAGTAACATCACAGCGCTCTGCACTTGCTCCTGATTTCTCTCAACATGAGGACTGGAGACTTGTGAGTCAATGCATGGGAAACAAAGTTACTAGTGTTACTAATTTGAAAAAGTAACAGATATTTTCTTGTAAATTTAAAAGTAATGCGTTACTTTACAAGGTACTTGAAAAAAGTAATCTGATTACGTAACTCGCGTTACTTGTAATGCATTAACCCCAACACTGATGATCAATACCGTATACACTGCTTACCCATAAACACAGTGTGCGGCTGTGATCAGCCATTCGCTGTCAATCAAAGTGGCTCCGCACACGTGACCGCCCAACCAGCGCAGAGATGCTATCCATGGCCACGCCCCTTTCTGAGCGTCCTGACCGCCCACCACTCGACCTGCCTTGTTTCCGTTTCTAGTCTCACTGTTTAAGGGGACTTTACGTGCGCCACATGCTGTAAACAACAAGAGATGCTGGACTTCTGCTGATTTTGAGACTGAATGAAGCCGAGCTGCGGGTTTCAAACTTACGCTGATTGTTGCAGAGCAGCGACACGATCTTCCCGCCGAGGCACGTGTCACTTTAAAAAGACACAAAAGAATCTGAGATTTTATAGGCCAATAAAAGTGTGTTTTTTTTCATCAAATGTATTATTTCAGTGATTACCTGGGTTTCAGATCCAGAGAGCCGTTAGTATTCACACTTACAGTAGTAAAGGGAGCATCTCCATCCGCAATGCTGGAGAACGAAGCATCTCCTGACCTACAGACATCACAGTACACTTTTCTGTGTAGCCCAATAAAGCTACTGTATCATATTTAATACACACATTTCTAAAGCCTTTAGATTATCATTAAGATCAAAACATTTGTTCACAGTCTACTGCTTCCTTTTGTTTGGAAGCCCGCTTCTGCCACTAAATGAAAAATGTAATAAAAGGTAATTGTGACTTTTTAGCTCACTATTCTGACTTTTTTTCTTGCAATTCTTGTGAAACGTAAAAATAAAGAAAGTCTATTTTCTTACAATTGCAGGTTTATATCTCGCAATTCTGAGGGGAAAAAATCTGAATTGCAAGAAAGAAAAAAAAGTCGTGAATTAATAAAGCCGTATTGTGAGATAAAAAAAAAAAAAGAGTTGCAATTACCAGTTTTATTTTTTATTCAGTGATGGAAACTAGCTTCCATTCCTCTGTCGTCTGACTGATAGTTTATACTTTTTTAGCAAGTAAAAGGCCTTGTAGTTTAATTTGAAGAATTGCCTGTTTCTGCTGTGAAATCTTTACTGATTTTCATAAAGTATATAGTTTCATATATTTAAAGCTGAACATTTATTAGACTAAAGCAACTAAGGATTAGACATTGCATTGCATTATATGTTTTCCCCCCACAATAAAAACTACAGAGCTTTGATCATAAAACTAAACATTTAAATCTCATCTTACTAAGGCATATTACTGGAGTGATGACTGATATTTATCATAAAGATCTCATTGATTTACAAGCGATCAGGATTTCATCTTAAGATTTGTCCATATATAAATATCAGCATTTTTGTAGTTTTGCTCATATGAAACCGAGCTATTCTTTCCTCATGTATGAGCTCCATATTCTCACTGCGTCATATTATATGTGACCCTGCAGCAGCAAAAGCAGTCTTAAGTCGCTGGGGTATATTTGTAGCAATAGCCAACAATACATTGCATGGGTCAAAATTATCAATTTTTCTTTTATGCCAAAAATCATTAGGATATTAAGTAAAGATCATGTTCCATGAAGATATTTTGTAAATTTTCTACTGTAAATATATTAAAACTTAATTTTTATTAGTAATATGCATTGCTAAGAACTTCATTTGGACAACTTTAAAGATGATTTTCTCAATATTTAGATTTTTTTGCACCCTCAGATTCCAGATTTTCAAATAGTTGTATCTCAGCCAAATATTGTCCTATCCTAACAAACCATACATCAATGGAAAGCTTATGCATTTAAAAAAATTGACCCTTATGACTGGTTTTGTGCTCCAGGGTCACATATGAGAAATATATATGCTACTCAACAAAAACACATATGCATCTTTTTTATTTATTTGTTGTTTTTTTTGTATATTTTTGCCTAAAGGTTCAATAAACAATTACACTTTTTTTTTTAAATGTACTATTTCCCGTGTGCCGTGTCAGGCTTGATATGATCATATTCTCACTGTCTTCCGTGATTAAGTGTTTACCTGTAGCCCAGGTAGCGGCAGAAGAAGTGTGAGAGCTGAGAGCTCCAATCTTGAGCACACACCGTGTAAAGATGATCCTGGACCTGAAGTCTCAGTCGTTCAGCTGCAGTGACGTTCTCTTTGATTATATGCACTGAAACACAGCAGAGCCTGTGATCGCATGCATGAACGGCGTGATTGGGTTTGTTATGGTTCAGATTGATGGCTCACCACAGTCAGCTTCATCAGAGCCGTCAGAGCAGTCTTCTGCTCCGTCACACACACCTGAGCTGGACACACACACTCCTGTGCCGCACTGAAACTGACCGCTGGGACACGGATCTGCATATTGACCAGAGCTTATGTCATTTCTTAAGCCGTGTGCATGTGGTTATGCTGATATAGTGCACAGCAGAAAGCATACCTGGCTGCCCGAGGTTAATGCCTGTGCTAAAGTTGGCTAGAAAGCCTCTGTTGTTGCCCGAGGCATCTGTGAAAAGCATGACTGTCATCTGAGAGCTTGTGGAAAACAGATCCGGGAAGGAACGAACCCCAGTTAGGACACCTTCAATGACCAAAACACACATTACTTTACATTCTGTGCAAATACACTAGTAAAAATCATTTTATAAAATGTGGAATATTATGGCATAGTGTGTGCATTTCATATCAGAGGTCAATGAAATATTACAATTATTACTAAAGTATGTGAATATTATTATTATTATTTTTTTTTTAAAGGAATATTTTTATTCAGCAAAGACGCATTAAATTGGTCAAAAGTGAGAGTAAAGACATTTATAATGTTGCAAAAGATTTCCGTTTCAAATAAACGCTGTTCTTTTGAACTTTCTGTTCATCTGTGAATCCCGAAAAATAAAATGTATCACAGTTTCCACAAAAATATTGTGCAGCACAATTTTTTTTAAACATTTGATAATAATAATAAATGTTTCTTGAGCAGTAAATCAGCATATTAGAATGATTTCTGAAGATCATGTGACACTGAAGACTGTTGAAAATCCAGCTTTGATCACAGAAATAAATTACAGTTTAATAGATATTCACATAGAAAACAGCTGTTTTACATTTAAATATTATTTCATAATTTCTACTGTATTTGTGGTCAAATACATGCAGCCTTGATGAGCAGAAGAGACTTCTTTCAAAAACATAAAATCTTACCAACCAAACTTGTATATATATATATATATATATATATAGGTAGAGTTTTGTATTAAAACATTTATTAAAATCCCCCCATATTATCTGTAATATAAATGCATGCCTTAATAAATAAAACATTTGTAAATATATGCAAAATCACCTAGCAGCTCTGAGTAGGGCGTCGCTCCATCTCGAACTTCTAAAATGTCATAAGCCATCTCTAAAGCAACGTCTTGAAAATGCAGCTGGATATTCTGTCCTTCCTTAGCATGTAAAGTCCACATACCTCAACAAGATAATGACCAAAACATTAGAAACTGAAGCAGGCAGAGGTGCAGTTTCACATTATGTTTTAGAATCTTCCATAAATTGTTCTGCATTCTTAAGGATCATAATATAATGTGTCTAGGACTCACATGAAGCTTTGTGTCCGTAGCCGTTGGGGTAGTTTGGAGAGCTGAATGTCGAGTTGGGTTCATACAGGTCAAACGGTCCCCAACAATCCTCTGTGATGAATCATTCAAGCTCATCACAAGAACGTGACTCCTTTGCAATCTCGTGCTAATATAAATGTCATGACTGCAGCAGGTATAATCGCTCACCTGGTATAGGAGGAGGAGTGATGGGAGGAGGGACCGGGGTCGGCTCCGGAGGGCCCGCTCCACAAGAACCAGGTGCTACGCTGATATCATCCAGAGCAATGTCATTCAGAAACCCTGCCCTCTTCTGCGCCTCAAACACCAGCTGAGAGAACAACCAAACGGCCGTTAATGACCTTCTAAGCATCTTATGTTATGGAAGCTACGAGAATACTTTTTGTGTGCAAAGAAAACAAAAATAATGACTTTATTCGATAATTTGTTTTTCAAACAACATATGCAACGTAAAAAAAAATACGTTGTTTTACGTTCAAATCAAAGCGTACATACGTTGCATGCTTGTCCGCAAATTGTTGAATAAAGTCGTTATTTTTGTTTTCTTTGCGCACAAAAAGTATTCTCGAAGCTTCGTAAAATAAAGCAATAAGCCCAGTGATACCGTGGTTTACAGTGAATTTATAACAGCTAAGAGGCGCCTCCTTCATATTCATGACATGTGTCATGTCATGATTATGAAGGTGTCATGTCAGTCTTATGCACACCCCTTCAAGTAAAGTGTTACCAAGTATTCTCATAGCTTCGTAAAATAAAGCAATAACCCCCGTGAAGCCATGGTTTACAGTGAATTTATAACATCTAAGAGGCGTTGTTAGACCCGCTAAAACCCCTTTAGCTGTTATAAATTCACTGTAAACCACGGCTTCACGGGGGTTATTGCTTTTATAAAACGGTTATTCCATATACGTAGTAAGGTTTCACAAAATAAAACAGAGCAAATAAAGTGTAATGATATTAATAAAAACAGTATTCTTCCACCAAACAATGTAGCTCCTCAGAAACAGTTGTGGTTGCAACAAAGTGGTTGCCGAGCAACACACAAACGTAAACAAAGGTGTATGTTACTTTGTAGAGTAATTTACAACAGCTTCAAACGCAGCTCAGCCAATCAGAGTCAAGGACCGGAACTATCCGGTTTATAATGCGGTTGAACCCCTGATGTCACATGGATTATTTTAACGATCTCCTTGAACGTTTCTGGACCTTGATCATGTTAGGATCCTTGCTGTCTATGGGAGGGTCAGAGAGCTCTCGGATTTCATCAGCAATATCTTAATTTGTGGTCCGAAGATGAACGAAGGTCTTCTGGGTTTGGAACGACACGAGGGTGAGTGATTAATGACAGAATTTTCATTTTTGGGTGAACTATCCCATTAAGCCCGTTTGTACGTGAGCTGACCACAGCCTCCGCAGTGATGTTTAGCGTGGCTTGACCGTAGTTCCAGCTGTCACCATAGTTCCCTTCTTTCTGGAAGAGGACGGTGACGGATGAGCTTTCCTGTGCCGTGACCGTCAGACGCCAAACCTCCTCGCCAAACATGTGATACCTCAAAGAGCACAGGCACAAACCGCTTACAGCCGAGCACAAGACAAGCACACTTGAGAAGAGCACTGAAATGTGAACTGTATGTAGTTTTCAGACAATTGCATGATATTTACAATTAAATGAAAATGTATTATAGATAAATTTATATTAAACTAGCTGAACTGAAGCATGCTTACTCTGATGTACTCATAAATATTATATGCAAGTATGTTTAATATGTGCTTTTAAGATTTTAAATGCACATACAATACTTAAAAATGCACATTCAATACTTCTTCACATACTTGATTCATTCTAGCATTTTATCATCTTAATTTGCATTTATAGTCATTTTCATACAGTGTGCACAAATAATCTGAATGTTTCCAAATGTTACCATGGGGAGAAAAACTAACCAGAATTGCAGACACACTGATTCCTTTGTAGGAGTCAGAGGAAGACTGTATATACGGATTTTTTTATCCTGACTTCCAGGGGTCCGAGGGGTCACAATGTAGTACCCTATGAGATAAAAACCTATGTTCGTTACAGTACATCAGGTATGCAAATCGTAATCGTAATAATTAATAAAAGTATAAATATAGCTGCAAGCTGGAGTTAAGAGGCAAGCAAAGCAACGAGCATCAGACCAACTGCAAAAATTAGTCATTTTAAGATGATTTTAGTCAAAATAGCTGAAAAATCCTAAATACATGAATTAGTGATTTAATGGTTTATTGCTTTTGACCAATAGGTGGCGCTGTTATCAGATTGATGTGGCCTGGTCAGTGTGAGGTGACAATGACACAGAGTTTGGTGTCAGAATGTCAAATCATTGCAGAGATACAGCCTCAGATATAATATATGGATATAAATCCGTAACATTTTGCCGGCATGGTCTGAAAATGATCAGATTCGAACTTAGTGAAAATCGGATGAACAGTCCAGGAGGAGTTTAAAAAAAGTAGGAAGTGAAGTTCGGCTAATTATGACATAATTGGTATCGATGTTCTCGGTATGACGCAAGGAATCTATCAAAACCAGTCTCATGATTACAGGCAAAAATAATCAAAAGATATGAGCATTTTTTAAAATTTTGCTATCATTTTTTACCTCAAGGGGGTGCTGCCCCATGACTTTTTGAGTACAGGGCACAGTGCCAAAGACACATAGTGAGTTTCGTAACATTACGCCAATACGTTTGTAAAATACAGCATTTTACGACGAAATTATGGCCAACATAGGTAAACTGGCTCTGCGTCCCAATTCGCATACTATCCGTCCTAAATAGTATTGGAAAATAGAATTAGTACGTCCCAAATCACAGTATGTTAAAAAAAAGTATGCCAAAAATTCCCGGATGGTCTACTACTTCCGGTTAGAATTGGAAGTACAGATCGATGCACGCTCTAACGGCTAATATTGCCCACAACACATTGCGCGGTGGATGAGGATTCCATTAGAACTACAAACACGCATGAAAAAGGTTTAAAAACTACAAACATTGTGAACTTTTATAATGATACATTTGGTCATTAATTTTTAAATGCATCATTATGCAAACAAATGAAGAGAGTTCTCGGCATGAAAGACACACGATGTGCCTCTTCATTTCTCTCCAATACGGTAGGAAATTAAATGAAATTAAATGTGATTTTGTTAACTGTGATAAGATGATTGACAGGACAGTTTAAACTGTGACAGAATGCACGTAATTAAGCAACAGAGCGTTCGTTAAAGACACAGTTATGACGAAGTAGCATGTCCCAAAGCTTGCCTACTATTCTGCTACATACTCAAAAGTATGTACTTTTTCTACACAAAAAGAGTACATACTTTTAGGGCATAGTATAAGTAGGCGAATTGTGACGCAGCTGGGTATTGTTCAACTCTGTATGGCGCACTGAAACTTAAGAGACCAGTCTTGTAATTTTTGGCGAAACCATTCAGAATTTATAAGCAAAAATAGCCATTTTTCATATCTCCTGATCACTAGGTGGCGCTGCACTAAAACTGTGCAGGTATCCTCAGGTCATGGTTATTATAACACCCACCAAGTTTGGTCTCAATATGCTGAAGCGTTGTGGAGATATAGCCTCACATCCGTTTTGGCATGCTTTTCGACCAAATTCGTTCACGTGTTATTCAAGAACTGTTCGAATAATCAACTTGACTTTTAGTCAGCATGCTCTGAAGATGATCTGGCTCGATTTTTGTAAAAATTGGAGCAATAGGGTAGGAGGAAAAATTCAAAATGATGTCACAGGATGCAATCAATCCTTCAGCCAAGGAGTCAGAGGAAAAAAATAACTTTTTTCAAAAAGTTATTAGCATAAACACGAGTGCAATTTTAAGCTGTTGGTGGCGCTAGAGGGTTTGAGATAGAGACTCCAAATTTGCTATGGTTAGTGTTGAGACTGTGCTCTATCTGTGTGCCAAATTTCACATTTTTCTATACGGCTCGGAGCTGCCACAGACTTCCAGAGCGGAAGAAGAAGAAGAAAGTTTAGTCTGTAATTGTTGCTGTATTTAATGGCACCTGATTGGTCTCCGGTCGTGTGGTCGAAGCTTGGGCCGGTGTCAGGAGGGACAGTAGCGCCTTGTGCTCGAAGCCAGTCGCCGTCGTCATTAAAATCTTGCCTCCAGTGACAGAAGTTCTCTTCAAAGGAGCAGTTTATCTTCTCTTCATCTACCAAAGACCATAGAATTCAACACAAACTTGACGTTTCAGTAATAACTCCCAATATGATCAAATAAGCAAGTTGGCATTTTTGCACTTCGGGTTTTTTGAATGAGAATCTAACTCAAACTTTATATCTTGCAGATTACTTTCTACTTCTTGAGAAGTTTCAAGTTGTGCGCATTTGTGAAGATGATCTTGGAAAGACATTTAAGTCTTAACACTGCAAAAAAATTACTTTCTTAGTATTTTTGTCTTTTTTTCTAGTATAAATATCTATAAATTCTTCAATCAAGATGCATTTACTTGACAAGTAAAATGATTTAAGATATTATGTCTTGTTTTCTGAAAAACAAGAACAAAAGAAAAATAATCTTAATTCAAAGGCTAAACAAGATTATTTTTCTTGCCCTATTGGCAGATATTTTTGCTTGTTTTTTCAGAAAACACGACATAATATCTCAAATCATTTTACTTGTCAAGTAAATGCATCTTGATTGAAGAATTTATAGATATTTATACTAGAAAACAAGACAAAAATACTAAGCAAGTAAGTCATTTTTTGCAGTGCAGAGCTTATTTTCTGCAATAAAACTACAGCAGTCGTCGCTTCAGGACTCTATATTCATGGAACATGATCTTTACTTAATATCATTCCCCCCGCATGCATAAAAGAAAAATTTATAATGTTGACCCATACAATGTATTGTTGGCTATTGCTACAAATATACCCCAGCGACTTAACACTGCTTTTGTGCTGCAGGGTCACATATTTTATACCTTTAAAATAATAATAAAAAAAAATTCTGGACAGAAGTAATTCAGGTAATAGAAGACATGTTTAAGAAATCAAATATAATAAATATACAAAATATAGTTTTGTGTATAGGAACTATGCTACTTAGTAAAGATGAGTTATATTTATTTAGAATATTGAGAATTGCAGCTTTTAAAGCAATAACAAAATTTTGAAAAAGAGGGAAGTATCCCCGGCTTTAAGTGATCGGTTAGATTTAGTTTCTATAGTACACTCTATGGAAAGGAAAAATAAGGAATAACTACTGGTAAATCGCCTGTTTGATTAACAGACCGTCTTTAATTGATTTTTCCGTACATTTCTGCCATATGTACATTAACTGACAGTCACCACTGATAAGCTACCACTAAATATTGTAGAAACTTAATTTGCTGTAAAGTTGCTTTGCAACTATTTGTATCGTGAAAAGCGCTGTACAAATAAACTTGAATTGAATTGAATTGAAAGAGTTTGTGAGATAGTGATGTATATGTAGATGCGTCTGATTATCATATTACCGTATGATCCAGCGGCAGGCCGTGGGACTGTCATAGACCTCGGGAAAGTGTTTTGAGTGGAAGGATCCGGTCGCTCCGAGCAGAAGAAACTGACCGTCACACTCTGTTGCTACAGCGCATGAAAGACACTGCATGCATCACAATGAATGCATCTCAAAAGCACTAGTATTGTGTGTGTGTGTGTGAGTGTGAGTGTGTGTGTGTGTGTGT